GGTAAAGCAGAAGCACTGTTAGGAAAAACAGGGACTTTAACAGTAGGAACAGAAATGTTTTGCTTCAAGGTCTTAGGAAAGCCTTCAGAGCTTCTTGTTTTATTTAGTAACTTCTATTTACCTTTTCTGTAAGGAGTTTGGGGCAAGGGCACTTCTGCCTCAGGATTCCATTTATCAGCAATGCTGCTTAAACATAACATGGATCATGAAAACTGTGGGGAGGGAAGCTCATTTATGGAATGCTTTTCCTTTTTAAAGTGTGTTTGATTTATCATGATTTGACTTCAAAGACTACTCCATTATGCCCAGGAATTTCAAGGACAACTTGTTTTTTGTTGAGAAGGTTGAAACAGAGACATGTTCTGGCAATACATTCTAGTAATAAATTGCAGTGTAAAATTGGAAGAGGTAAAATAATGGCTAAAAGAGTTCTACGAAGGCCCACACACTGACATGGGGCACCTTTCTGCACTTCAGGTTTGAAGTCTTGTGGAAATACTTCCTTCCTAAGTCACCTTTGCAGCTACAGTTATTTTGTGCTTTTTAGGTTGAATAAAGCAGTCTTAGTGCTGAGTGCTCAAATAATTTTGGTTGAGGATCATTTAAACAAAATACTGGAGAAAAAAATTGAGAGAACTGGGGCAAGTCCCAAGGGGGTCATGGAGATGCTCCCAGGGCTGGAGCCCCTCTGCTCTGGAGCCAGGCTGGGAGAGCTGGGGGTATTCACCTGGAGAAGGATCCAGGGAGAGCTTAGAGCTCCTTCCAGGGCCTAAAGGGTCTCCAGAGGAGCTGGAAAGGAACTGGGGACAAGGGATGGAGGGACAGGACACAGGGAATGGCTTCCCACTGCCAGAGGGCAGGGATAGATGAGATACGGGGAAGGAATTGTTCCCTGGGAGGGTGGGCAGGCCCTGGCACAGGGTGCCCAGAGAAGCTGTGGCTGCCCCTGGATCCCTGGAAGTGTCCAAGGCCAGGTTGGACATTGGGGCTTGGAGCAACCTGGGATAGTGGAAGGTGTCCCTGCCCATGGCAGGGGGTGGCACTGGTTGAGCTTTAAGATCCCTTCCAGCCCAAACCAGTCTGGGATTCTCCTAAAATCAGAGCCTCTTTCATGTAACATTGCTGCGGACAATTTCCTAAGGGACACTGCTCATTGGTGTTGCTCTTTAGCTTAAGGAACTTAATTTTTCCTCCTTGTTAATTTACCCAAGTGTATTTCCAGAGAGTTTCCATTTATCTTGATTAAATAAATTCCAATTTTTGTCGTCTTTATAAGATAGACTCTCCATCCTCCTGATGATGGGAATAACTTTTCTCTGCACCTGGCTCAGTCCAAAGATGGTTTTTTATAGCTCCAGGAATTCCCACTGTCTCTGGCTGGTGCCTGGTTGTACAACACCGTGCTGGAGGTTAGGATTTTTTGAACCCATATTGCTACTTTTTGATTATATTTTGTGAGGGAAAAAAAAGGTACCCCCATATAATTACAACATACCACTTGTCTTCAAGGTTTTTAATTAAAATTATTGTCTCTGAATTGGAAATTTGTGTCAGACTGCAGTTTTAGATTTATCTGTTGCGTGTGTGATGGTGGATGTGGAACAGAGGCTGTGGCTTTGTTAGGCTTGCTCCTGCAGAAGGGAAGGGTGAGGTAACAACAGCTGAAAAAGGAGATTTGGGTAGTGAAATCGTGATATGATGTGAAATAACCTGTAAACTCTTATCGATGCAATAAAACTTCTTTTCTTCACAAATCTCTTATTGGTGCCATGGGGTAATCCAGAAGTTTCCCTACTCCCATCCTGCTTGTTTTGTTTTACTTTTTTTTTTCCCCTCTCATAGTTCTGTCTCTTGCTCTAATAGCTTCTTTTCACTGAAATTTATCTTATGATAAATTTTCTTGCTTTACCTGCTCACACTTGCAATAAATCCTCTGCAAATTGCCGAATTTCACTAGCCAGCCCTTCCTTTTTCTCTGAGACTCCAGAGATCCACATTGGAATGCTGGACATTCTTTTTAAATGCTGAAGATTCCTTTTAAATTAACTGTACAATGTTTTATTTATAATTCTGTAAATTCAAATGTGTTTGATGGAAAACCAACTTTGGGAGAAGTTGTTAGCATGAACATATGATTCGGCTTGTAATTTTGCTAATTATTTTATTGACTATAAACTAGAAGTTGGCCTGATTTGGCTGAAACTTTCACTGGTACACCCAGCAGGGAGAAAATATCATGGAAACAGAGAAGATGGGGGGAAAGCTCATGGAGTTATTAAAAGAATCATGATTATTCTTTTAGTGAGATATATTATTTTTTATACTTAAAAATTGTCCCTGCTTTAGATTTTTATTTGGATATTTAGTTTGATTTTACTTTTATTTTTCTAGTCGCTGTTGTATGGGGTATGGCAGGGCTATTCCTGAAAACAAAGTTGCAGTAAAAGTTTCTATTGTTGAGGTTATTTGCACTCATTAAGAGTTTGTTGAAGGGTCCTTCAATTCCCCAGATCCTGAACCTCTAGAAAATGATAACATACATCTCTAGAAAAAAGTTAGAGTTGTCTTTGTTATGGCCCTAGAATGTGCATTGTATCCAGTGAAAAAAATGAGAGCAGGGGAAAAAGAAATAAAAGGCCATATTTCATATAGATAATGCAAACATTTCTTATCTTCCCTCCCAATGTGCTCATAGGAAACTACAGTTTTGTGAAAAATGTGGTTTTCCAGGTGATTTATTTGCTCTGTTAATGCCTACAAAACAAAAAGCTTTAAAATAAAATAATAGTTAATTTAATTCTCTAAAACCAACCAAACAGAAAATTTTCAATTCTTATGTATCAAAATAGACCATATAAGAATGAAAGGAATAGGGAGGCAGTGTTCCTGCAATAATAATTTTTTTTAGACTGCCTAAGGCACTTTGAAATGGTGAAGTGGGCATGGAGGTATTTGGTCACAGGTTGGGCTTGGTGATCTTGGAGGTCTTTTCCAACCTGGATGATTCTGTGACAGCAAACCCAGTGTGGTGGTGGGTCCAGGGTCTCAGCAATGGCACCAGAGCCACGGGCAGGGACTGAGCCCAGCAATTCCCCCTGCACAGGAGGCACAACTTCTTCCCTGGCCACTGCCCAGCCCTGAACACATTGCCCACAGAGCCTCTGGGCTCTCGTCCCTGGGGCTGTTCCAGAGCTGTGTGCACACAATGCTGTGCCCTGTGCTCTGTGAATTCCATCATTGTCCATATGGATGAACAGGCTCAGGGAATGCTGTGCTCTCAGTCCTTCCCTGTGGTGCTGAGATGTTTGGCTTTGCCATTGAACTCCTCAGGGGCCACACAAAGCTGCTGCTGGAGGAAAACCCAGTGCTCTAGAGGTGTCCTTTAGGGGCTTCACCTAAATGGAGATCTGAGCAAATGCTTTACTGCTCTCACCCCCTTTTGTATGCCTTCTCTGTGCTGGGGCAGTTAGAGGCAGTAACGAGCTGGAGTGGGTCCTCTGAAGTCAACAGATGTGTAATTTTTACAATAAGATGGGAAATAGAACTTACCTCAGCTTGCTGTTCTGTTTAATTTACAGATGATTTTTGTTGGATTTGTGTGTAAAAAATGCACCTCAAAAAACCAAAACAAACCAGTAATACCTGGGCATTTCTTTCCTATTCTGAGTCCAGAGCTTGATTATTACCATTTCACACAAAGGGGGTTTAGCTGGGCTGTGCCTTCGAGGAGCCTCTTAAAAGTCTATAAAATCGTGGGCAATCTCAGGTAGTCCTGCACGGTGAATTGAGAAGGAGAATGGTTGTCTCTTTTCTCACTGAGTCAATGAGGCTATTGAAAATTAAAAGCTCTTCCTAATGAACTTTTATTTCCATGTGCTTTAAAGGGGGTAGTGGTTTTCTACTGTTTAATGTACAAAACCTAATTGGTCCTAAAACAGTCATCACATGTGGTGATCATGCTTTTATGTATTTTAAGGCTACACTTATGTGTTTGCTAGCTCTGCATGTACTGCTTGATACCTTTTAACTTCTCTTTTGAGTAAACCAACAAACTCTTACTTATTTTCTTTCGTTATTCTGCTCTGCTTCCATTGATGACTCTAAACTTTTGACTCCAGACTGGCAATATGAGGGTAAGATGGCAAAATATGACTTCCTGAACATTGCTCATCTGCTTTTCATTTGTGTTCTCCTTAGAGTTATTAAAAATCCATTCACTAAGTAGATCCTTTTTGTTGCAATTAAATTCAAATTTTGTTTGTTTCTGTTATGAAGCTTTAATTATGATTTATACCTTTTAATCATTCCTCTGTTATTTCTTTTGGTTAAATTACCATCGTATTTCCTGTGTCCTGACAGACACTGAGATTCCTGATGGGATCTCTAGAGCAAGACACAAACAGATTCAATAGTGTAGCCATCCAACTAGACTGTGGTGGAATGTGATAGCAATCCTTCCCTGTGAGAGTAGGCAGACCCTGGCACAGGGTGCCCAGCTGTGGCTGCCCCTGAATCCCTGGAAGTGTCCCAAGGCCAGGCTGGATGAGGCTTGGAGCAACCTGGAATAGTGGAAGGTGTCCCTGCCCATGGCAGGGGCAGGGAATGAGATGGGCTTTACAGTCCCTTCCAACCCAAATCATTCCATGATCCTGTGATTTGAGGTGTGTGTGTTCATGACATGCAAAGAGGAAAAACCATATAATGTTTTTGCTGTTCAAGTGTTTTAAATATGGATCATACCTGAGATCTTTTGTCATCACATACTCCCGTGCTTTACAAAGTTTCTCTGAGTAAGGGATAAGCAAACAGCTCTGATTTTGAACCTTTGTGGGTGTAACTTTACTATCAGCTCTAGCTCAGACCTGCATCACATTTAAGGGAATATTTGCCTTCAGCATGCCAAATACGCTGACTTAGAAAAAAAAAAAAAACAACCAACAATAAAACCCTGGAGATCCTACTTTTGGAATGAGAAATAATTATTTGTTTCATCTTTATAGATTGCAAGTTGGCCAGAACAGGTCCTCCAGCCACAATAGTTCCTATTGATGAGGAGAGTCGCAACGGTGAGTGCCCCACAATTATTTATAACACAAATTATTTAGAACTAGTCATTGAGGCCCTTGTTGCAAATTGACCTTCTTAATTTTTTCTTAAGTCAGTGGGACATTACCAGAGGACAAGGTTCTGGTCAGTATTTGGTTTTCTTTGGGAAAAGCTGAAATTTTACTCTGCAGCATGAAAGGAGTGTAAACAACGTTGTTTTCTGGGTTTCCCACATTACTTTTGGAAGGTTGCTTGCTGGTTCCCTCTAAGCTCAAGAACATGAGTTTACACATGAACATGGACACCTCTGAAATGGATGAACTTGGTTGTGGTCACGGAAATTTCAAAAGTAAATGAATGTCCCTTTTTTCAGGATTTTAATTCTCCTGACAAGTCATAGAGTTCTCTGATTGTTGATCTGTGATCTGAGCATTGCATTTGTGCAGAGTATTGTGATGGGATTAAGTTCTTTACCCTGTTACAATCAGCTGTTGCTCCTGAGAGTAAGTTACTACTCTTTCCTGCTTTTTATTCTGTGCTTAGGGTAGGTTTTTTTTTAACTTTGCAAGCTGGGCCTGTTTTTGTGCTGTGTGTAGCTGTGGTTTATCAGATATGGGTGCTTGAGATGGTGAATAAAGCTAGGTCATGCTGGTGGAACCTCTCTGGCGTTATTCCAGCAGGAATTCCTTCTTGGAGTTGCTCAAAGTCAGATGGATAAATGCATTTATGGGTAAAACTCCTCAGTAAGCCAGGTTTTAATACACCTGTGTGCTGAAAAGCTCTGGTACTGGGGTGGCTGATAAAACCAGGTTCTTTTCCCTCCTCCTGGGGTGGTTTTCCCTGCAGTCAGGAGCATCCAAGGGAGGCTACGAAGATGGATGTGCTCTTTGAATCAGATGTGTTGGTTCTTGGCAAGTTGCTGTTGTATCCTGATGTGTTCCAGTTGTGGCCTGCTCAGTTTTGGTGGAATAACCCCCTTAGCTGGAATGGCTTGGCTGCCAGACCTTGTCTCTCATAGCTTTTCATCCTCCCTGCTCATTAGAAATAAATCCGTACTAACAACAAGGGGTTCTAAATAAATCCAAACAAACTTTGCCACCAAAAAATCTTTGTGAAAAACCTTTTGAAAGAGAGATTGAAGTTGTGGATTCCCCATCCCTGCAAGTGTCCAAGGCCAGACTCGACAGTGCTTGGAGCAACCTGGTCTAGCAGGAGGTGTCCCTGCCCACAGCAAAGGAGTTGGAATGAGATGAGCTTTGAGGCCCCTTCCAACCCAACTCAGTCTGTGATATAAAAGTTAATAAGAAATCCACGGTGTTCTACATTTCTAGTGACCAAACTATACACTGGGATTTCCAAGAGATGCAGAAATAAAAATCCACCTAATTTTGTTCTAGCCAATACAAATATGTCTCTAACTCAAAGTGTGAAATCTCAACTTTATTTTAGTTCTTGCATGGCACTATTACTTCCAAGGGTCTGTTGTTGAGGTCGGAATGGCTCTTCTAAGGTTTTGGGATGAAGATCTAAAACAATGACTGGAACATTTCATTCCATCAGTGCACGTGGTCATCATGTTCTGGCAACACAATAAACAGAAAATCCTGCTCTTTAGAAACAGATATTTATCTATTGTGCCATGACACATTGAGTTCAATCATTCCTAATTCACAGGAAGTCAGAGACCAGCAAATCTCACGGAATAAAACTATTTTTCCAAATAGCTGTTACTTATTTTCATAGTCAGGCACACAGGCACCATGCCTGACCTTTAAAGAGCTTCTTGAGATCAGCAGAGATGTTAAGATTTGACAGTTTTTGTCATGGGATGAATATCTCTTTATATCAAGTAATTTAGGTACAATAGTAAATTACATTATAATTGTGCTCATGTGAGCAATCCTGGAAGGAGTGAACTTGACCTTTCTTAAGGAATAAATGAATTATTTTATGATTTTCCCTGTGTTGAACTGAATTGCTTCATAATATTTCAGATCATATTAGCAGCAAAACTGATTTTTTTTATGATTTTTAATAGACAGAGACTTATTTTCGCCTGTGGATTTATTTGTATTTAATTACTGGATTTGAGACCTAGTTTTAACTTGTTTTAAAGACGGAATAAGCCTTATTCCTAGGCCAGACTTTCTCATTGCCAGTTCTTAGAGGCCTCCCTGTAGAGCTGCCTGGGCTTTTTCCCTTCAGATGAGCAGCCTGAAATTCTCAAGGGCAGGGTTTTTGATGGAAAGTATACTCTTGGGAAAGGACTTCTACAAGGCAAGATTTAAAGATTTAGGGATTAAATTAGAATTTGGAATAGAAAGCAGAGGTTGGAGTAGAGGAAACAAGCAGACCAAAGTGAATTCCTCAAATAGGAACTGGTGTTGTGGTGCTCCATCCAGAACAAAAAAATTCCGCAGTTAGGAATGCTTTGTGTTCTTTTCCATCCTAGAAAAATCAGTCAGTGTTGGTGTGATTTGATTTTATTTTGGTGGTGTTTTTTTTTTTCCTGCTTCCCTTATGATGATGTGAGTGCTCTAATGAATAATGGGAGCAAATCCCAAAACCTCTGGTTTCTTCCCTCCATGTTCCTTGGGGATGTCTGACCCAAGGAAGTGCAACTTTCATGGCTGTAGGTGGGTCCAGGGTTATTTTTCCACCTTTTCATCTTCCTGCTCCCTCAGCAGCAACCTTTTGTCAACCTGACTTCCTGGGGAGTCAGAGGATGTGATCGTGCTACAAATCCCCTTCCATAACCCTCTGTGGGGAGGGACTCACGGGAAATGGGGCACAAAAATGCAGGAAACAAAGCTGTGGTGTTTTTTCCCCCTAATTCTGTTGGACCAATTTATTTTTAGTTTTAGTATATGTAATGCTGGAAGAATGAACCTGATTGCTGAGGCACATTGATGATTTCTGTGCTGGTCCAAACTGGTTTAACTTGGTTTTCAGGGACAATCGACAGGGATTGAAGAAAATGTCCCCAGAGGCACATCTGCAGCCTCCCTCCAGTGGTGGGCTTGGGTGTGCTGATAAGGACTGGGAGTGATGCCTCTGAATATGCATTGCTCAATTAAATGTTCAGTGACCACCAGGGCAGGCTGGAATTAAACTAATTATGCCTAAAGAATGAAGAATACGGCTATCCCAGGCTAAAGGGAAAAGGTGTTTAGTAAAATCAACTTGGAAGGTTGCTGTGGCTGAGCACAGGTGTATCAAGAAATGCATTCCTTAAGAGCTGTGGCTCGATGTTCATTTCTTACTTTTCCCTCCTGTTTCAAGAATAAGGATGAATTAATGACTTGAAGGTGCTTCAGCCTCAGAGGGCTTTTCCAACCTAAATGATTCCATGATATACTTGTATTGCCTTCATGAGCATCTCACTCTTTAATTTTAAACAAAAGTACTTTCACCTATTGCTTCCTATCATTCAAAAATCAGCTTTATGAAGGAAAGTCATCTTAGTTTTACCATTTCAAGGGATTCTGAGAACAGCATTTCCCAAGTTTGCAATGCATGTATAGGTGTGGAAAGACACCAAACTGTGATTTTTGTCTTGATTTTTCTTATTTCTCCCATAAAGGCACTTTGAGGACTCTTTGCATTTTTCTTTTACTTGGTGCATTATTTTTTGTAGTGTTTCTATAATGGGAAAAATTCAAATAATTTGTTTATATGATGTTATCATTCTAATGAAATATTTCGAGGGAGAAGATGCTTTAGTTGGTTCTTAATCTACTTCATGCTATTGTCTTTATGCCTCTCTGCCCACACACAGATTTTATTTCCCCACATCTTTGGACAATCTTACAGCTCCCTAAAGTGTTTATGAATTTTTTTTACCAGCTTTTGACCATCCTTTACAAATTTATCTTCACCAGCCTGGGATCCGGCATGCCTGGCAATGGAGATGTGGTGTGGTGTGCAGATCTAAGTTAAGGTATTGTAGCCAATAAATAAACCTTGGAATTAAATCCGGCCACTTGTAGGCTGAGGGTCTAGGCCCAGTCTGGCCATTCCAGCTCAGGGTGAAGTCGAGGTGGGTGATGTGATTTTAGTGATGAGTCTCAGCAGTGTTTTGCTGAATCTCTGGGTGCTTATGCTGTTCTGTGGTCATTAATCCCAGGTCCAAGACATTAGATTAGCCAACAGTACAAATCTGAGCTGGATGAGGCCCAAGGCCATAATAACATCTGCTCAAATTAGGCCTCACTCTGTGGACTTTATTCCGGTTTTGTGTTTTTATATATGAAGAGAGGTGATCCATTAGATCCAATAGCTGCCAGATTGAGTAACTTCTGTCAGAAGTTGTTACCCTTGTGGAATGTTCTGGACAAATTCTAACAGGAAGAGTGGATTTGTATTGATTCATGTGCCCTATATGGCTGCTGCTGGGGGCTGAACACTGACTGTGCCACGTCACAGGGCTGAGCAGGTCTGCTCCATCTGCTCATCCCTGAGCTCATTTGGGAGCTGGAGGTTTCCTATGGATGCTGCTCTAAAAGGATAATGATGTAGGGGTGCTGGTGGGTGAGAGGTGGCCAGGCCTTGGCCCCCAGAACCCGCCCTGTGCCCTGGGCTGAGGGGAGGGGGGGATTCTGCCCCTCTGTCCCTGTGCTCAGGTGAGACCCCACCTGCAGAGCTGGCCCAGCCCTGGGGCCCAGCACAGGAGGGACCTGGAGCTGCTGGAGAGAGCCCAGAGGAGGTCATGGAGATGGGGCAGGAAGCCCCTCTGCTCTGGAGCCAGGCTGGGAGAGCTGGAGGTGTTCACCTGGAGAAGAGGAGGCTCCAGGGAGAGCTCAGAGCCCCTTCCAGAGCCTAAAGGAGAGCTGGAGAGGGAGCTGGGACAAGGGATGGAGGGAAATGACAAGGGCAAATGGTTTCAGACTGACAGAGGTGAAATTTAGATGGGATATTGTGAAGGAATTGTTCCCTGGGAGGATGGGCAGGCCCTGGCACAGGGTGCCCAGAGAAGCTGTGGCTGCCCCTGCATCCCTGGAAGTGTCCAAGGCCAGGTTGG